AGATTGAATGGTGGTGAGGGCTTGCACCACACAGGTTTTCTGACTCAGAAACCATTCTCTTTCTACCCTTACTGAGATGTGAGATGCACTGTGGTAAATATGTAAACAGTGGAAAACTGGCTCATTGTAAATATTATGCTTCCAAGTTAAAGAAACAAACCAAACAAGTAAATGGCAACTCAATGAAAATGCATGATTGTAGATAGATTTTTCTTTGGGCCACCAGCTCACACCATGCCTTCCTAGATGTTTTGTGGTTTGTAAGGGCATTTTCCATGGAGGGAGGACACTGTCTCACATGGAAACACACTGAGACCTTGTGCTGTCTGCCCTCTGTAAAGCTTACCACCTACCTGGACACCCCAGTAGTTGTGGAAAGTATCTGTGACAGGCAGAACAAAAGACTGAAAACAAATCCAGAACTTCTGCTTCTAACCACAATCGCATTCTATATATATATTTTTCAGATGGTCTAGTATGCTGCTTAAAACTCTGCTAGGGAAGAAAGGGGAATAGCTAAAGGCCAACTGGAATTTGCTGTCACAATCAGTTGCTGTCTCTGGATTCGACTCCTGATCTACAACAAAGTTAAAACTGATCTGTTCTTGTTCTTGAGTACAAGAAACTATATATTATATTACACGTAGATTTATTGATAAATGCATTTGGAATACAACTGATTTTAAATTGTCCCTTAGAACTAGGGATGTAGCTTAGTTGATTGAGTACTTACCTGGCTTGCACGCATCCCCAGGTTTGATCTCCAGCACTATATAAACTAGACATAGGGGCACAGGCTTGTAATCTAACACTCCTGGAAGTGGAAGCAGATGGATCAGAGGTTCATGACGATACCTAGTCAATCAGTGAGTTTGAGGCCAGCCTGGGCTACATGAGACCTTGTCTCAAGAAAAATAAACAATAAAATAAATACAATAAAAATCACCATAGTATTTTATATTTTAGGAACCTCTTCTTGATGGGCACCAGTCATATTGAATTAGCACCTATGTCTTATGATTTCATGTAACTTTAAATACTGTTTTAAAGGCCTTGGTAAAGATAGTCATAGTCTAAAGTTAGTGGGGTATTGAGGCTATAACAAATAAATCTGAAAGAAGATTCAATTCACTCCATAACATACTCCAACCCAGACTCCACTTAGCCTATGTGTCTGTATTTTTAATGTGTAGGCTAAAAGTTGATTGACTGTATAACATTTGTTATAACTTATCAGGTTGTAAAGTTAAGGTCTCAATAGGGTATTTGAAAACAGACTTAGGAGAAGCCACTGTACAAGTTTCCATTGTTGTAATCTAATAATATTATTCCATGAGTTCCTGCCTTTTCCTTGCAAACTGCTAGATCAAGGTAATAAACTTCAAAACTTAGCTCTTTCTTTCCCCATTTCTTAGTCACATGAAAACACTGCCAGGACCTAGAATCACTTCATTCTTTTCCACCTTAACTTACTTATGCTCACTATCTTCCAATTCCTTAGACAGTACTATCTATCCATAACATGTTGTTCTCATCTACCCATAAAATATAGGATATAATCTCATTTAAAAAAAATTCCAGGCTGTTCAGCAGGTAAAAGTGCTTGCCACCAAACTTGATGACCTGGGTTTAATCTCAGGAGATCACATGGTGGAAGGAGCAAACTGACTTCCACAATCACAGACTGTCTTAAGATGTGAGCAATGCATGTGAGCACCTCTCTCTCTCTCTCTCTCTCTCTCTCTCTCTCTC